CTTTGATGTATCATCCATGCAAGATAATGTTTGGTAAACATAGGACTAATCAATACTTGGAAATAAGACCTGCACCAATACATTAACCTGTTAACTCATGCAGAAAATGAAGGTCAGATCCAGCATCTGAAGCAAGCCTGGAAGTTTGCATCCTTAGATGTATCACCTTGCAAGATTGGACTACATAGGACTTATCAATTAAAGTTAAACATATACACCAAAAACATTCTGTTCACTCATGTGGAAAATGTAGGTCAGATCCAGCATCTTAAGCAATCTTGTTGATATGAATCCTTAGATTACATGTATCATCTCTACAAGTTTGGTCTACATAGGACTTATCTTTATTTGAAAATGAGACCTGCAGCAAAAACTCATCCAGAAAATGTAGTTCAGATCCAGCAACTGAAGTAAGTTCATTAGTGTGCATGCTTAGATGTATAATGCATGCAAGTTTGGTCAAAATAAGACTCATTGTTACTTAAATGGAAATGGGACCTGCAGCACTTGACAATGGAGAGCTGCAAAGTTTGACCTATACTCGACACTTGGTGCCATTAAATGATCAGTGAGATCTTTTTCGTGCCAGCCTCCACTGCTACACGGGTTTATTTGGCCTCATGCAAAGGATTGGTCTCCATGTCCCACAGTTGGATTTGAACCCCTCATCCAAAGGACTGGTCTCCGTGTCCCACAGTGGGATTTGAACCCCTCATCAAAAGGGTCAATCTCCATGTCCCACAGTGGGATTTGAACCCCTCATCCAAAGGTCTGGTCTCCATGTCCCACAGTGGGATTTGAACCCCTCATCCAAAGGACTGGTCTCCGTGTCCCACAGTGGGATTTGAACCCCTCATCAAAAGGGTCAATCTCCATGTCCCACAGTGGGATTTGAACCCCTCATCCAAAGGAATGGTCTCCGTGTCCCACAGTGGGATTTGAACCCCTCATCAAAAGGGTCAATCTCCATGTCCCACAGTGGGATTTGAACCCCTAATCCAAAGGACTAGTCTCCGTGTCCCACAGTGGGATTTGAACCCCTCATCCAAAGGACTGGTCTCCGTGTCCCACAGTGGGATTTGAACCCCTCATCAAAAGGGTCAATCTCCATGTCCCACAGTGGGATTTGAACCCCTCATCCAAAGGACTGGTCTCCGTGTCCCACAGTGGGATTTGAACCCCTCATCAAAAGGGTCAATCTCCATGTCCCACAGTGGGATTTGAACCCCTAATCCAAAGGACTAGTCTCCATGTCCCACAGTGGGATTTGAACCCCTCATCCAAAGGACTGGTCTCCATGTCCCACAGTGGGATTTGAACCCCTCATCCAAAGGTCTGGTCTCCATGTCCCACAGTGGGATTTGAACCTCTCATCCAAAGGATTGGTCTCCGTGTCCCACAGTGGGATTTGAACCCCTCATCAAAAGGGTCAATCTCCATGTCCCACAGTGGGATTTGAAATCCAAAGGACTGGTCTCCGTGTCCCACAGTGGGATTTGAACCCCTCATCAAAAGGGTCAATCTCCATGTCCCACAGTGGGATTTGAACCCCTCATCCAAAGGTCTGGTCTCCATGTCCCACAGTGGGATTTGAACCCCTAATCCAAAGGACCGGTCTCCATGTCCCACAGTGCGATTTGAACCCTACTCCTCGACTCTGTAAAGCAGATGCTCTTCCACTGCGCCATGTGGGAGACCTTTTAAGTCTGAACCAGCATAATGATATAGAACACTGTATGTGTACTGAATATTTTAATATCAATAAAATCAAAGAATACAAATTTGAAAGTTGAGTGTTAAAAAACTTAATAAATGCATGTATAAATATTCATAAGTTGATTTAATCTGATTATTTGAACAGAAACCAATGAAGATTTCTTGATTTTTATCAACTGAAAAAGTTTTTTGCACCATAATTCATGAATCCATGCATTTCCAAAATCAAATTTACAGGGGCAATGTCTGAACTAATAATATCTACCAGTAAAAACACTACATTATAATATAATTTATTGAATACCAACATTCTAAATTCACATGACTTGAAGAAAGTTATGACGTCGCGCACAGAATTGGGGCTGATTTTGTAACGTCAAAGTATACATTCCTGACGTTACTGCATACGTCGTATAAGCGTAAAAACGTCAAAAAATTAAGGCGTAACAAATTAAACTAGACATCCAAATTTTGCTCCTGGTTTCTTGAAAATGGTTATTTTTTAGTTCTTCTTTAAAAACAAATTTTTATTTATTTGCACATTTTAAAAATAAGACTTTATCTGTTATAAGTTTTTCCAGTAAAGAGAGAATATAGCTTATATTGATGCTATACTCGCGATTAAATACCACCATACGCAAATTTGTGTCATAGTAACAAAACCGACTAGACATCAAAATAGCTCTATTAATCTCTCCTTCTACTTGCTTTTAATTTTTTAAAGAAATATTTGACTACTTCTTGATTTGCACATTTCATTTATCAACTTAGTTTTACGAAAAGAACCTGTTATATAGTAAAGAATCTTTACCAAACATTCTATCTTTTCTTGTAACTTGTCAAGATCACGGTATATTACGGAACGCTTCCAATTTTACGAACAGTCGGAATCGGCCAGTAAATGGGAAATTTATCAATAAATGTTGTGTGAAATCATCGCAGGACATTATAAAAGCATCGTACAAATTGGCAGAAAAATATATTTGACCAAAACGTAAAAATGACCAAAAATACAAACGCCCGTCATTTACAGTGTTACAAATTACGCAATTTCATGCCCCAATACAATGCGCGACGTCTCTATAAAACTGACATGTATCTAAAAAAATGTATGCTCTAATTATGAATTAATGAATATAATAATCAATAAAAAATTATAAATTCTCCAGATTAGTTTATCAGTACAATGCATCTAAACAGTGAGCAATTAAAAATTTCCACAGTTAAAGGGCAAAACAAAACATAAGGACATAAGATACAAACTTTTTTTCAAAAAAAAAAAAAAAAAAAAAAAAACTGCATAAATTTGTACTTTTTTCATTTAAAAGTTTCATAATAATGTAATATTAGTGATAAAAGTAGATATTTATAAGATGATGGCAAAAAAGGTAACATTTTGAATAAGTCGTAGAAAGTTAATAATTTAAAAACCACCTTATGATTTTAGAAATTCAATATTTTACATCATTCACAACCAAATTACAATGTTAAATAAATATCAGCTAGTCCATACATCCATTTATTCGTGTCACCTGTCCTTAAATTTGAAATATATATAATGCAAATTAACCCAATGCATACTACCGGGTCAAGAAAGAAAGAAAAAATTGAGAATTTTTTCATGGTCTAAGGGCAATAACTCTTTTGAATAACTGGTCAATAGTCACCATACCTGTTTATATCTTTACTTCATAAAAGTAGGAAGAGATATCACACAGCAATACTATGTACATGTACAACGTAGTACATCTCAAAGATAAATGTTTATGTAATCTAGATATAGTTAGACTATAGACCCAACTTGCAGTAATTTGAAAAAGAGAATTTATTTATTTGAAGTCTAAGGAAGTTCAACATTGTTAATTATCCAAGTTCTCAACAACAAATGGATATAAAATATCCTAGTGGAAGCTTGAAATTTAGTATGACATGTATAAAAATTTAAATGAACACAAAAGAGAACTTAAATTTAAGTTCCTTTACAAAATAAGTTTACATACAAATAAATTAAAGTGACAAGTTCATCCATGCCTGTACTGTTTCTTCAATTTACTGGGGGAATTGCGTCTTGGAGAGGGAATTCCGGGCGTCAGTTTGTTTCTCTCAATATATGGTGTTACACAAAGGCTCCGGACGTAAACCAAGCGGAAGCCAAGCGAAAACTGGCAGGAATTTTGAGGCGGAATATGCAAATGAGTTACGCCTGGAAAAATAAATGACGACCATGGGAAAAAGATTGTGCCTGAAAACTAAAATGGTTTATTATCAAAATTTAGAATTATATAATACTATGTGACCTAAAAACCTACATATTAGCCATATTAAACCAAGAAAACATTTAGGTTATGATGTACCTTGTTAAAGCTAAAATTTTAGCATTTTGAACTGCAAGAAAATGTAATGACAAGGCATTTACATAGTAAAGAAATATAATCTATAAGACTTTTTTTTTGTGTTAGGAACTCCATCATGATTGAATGTCTAAGGATTATACACAAACTTTTTACAATACCTGTACATTTTACCACTTCAATATAATCATGATCTTGAAACAAGTTACTTAATACAGTTCTACGTTATTACTCTGTACTTGACAGTTGGAGACTGCCTCTATCTGTTATTTATCTTTCAGAATGTGTTTAAAAATTCAAATATGGTTAAGTAATTTTAGGAGTTAACTGTTATATATATAACTATAATTATACATAATTTAATCAAATTTAACCAAATATGTACCAGCTATTAATAACACACCTACCAGCAAGATACTGTGCATCATCCAGAAGAAGTGTAAAACCTCAACATTGAAATATCCAGTACAATTTCCTATTTCACTCAACTTAACAGACTGAACCATTCTAGATAAATTCAAACTTAACTTCCTATCTGAAAACCTTCATTATAATTAAAATTGACCAATGATAGGCTTCTGCTTCTCCTGAAAGTTCCAGGCGTAAGTTTGGTTTTTGTTTTCCTGCCATTTTCGCCTGGAACAACTGAACTTGCAAACTGACCCTGGATAAGAAATTACGCCTGGAAAACATCTCTTCTACTGATTGAATATATTGTATAAAACTCCGTATTTCAGTAAAACAGAATTTGCAAACTCCTGCTCAATTCCGATAATATATATATAAATTCCAGGCGGTCCGCCTTTCAAATTCGTATGGTAGATACTATGTTCTTCATTTTACTGGTTCCCTTCTCTTTATCAGGGTTGCGTTCTTAATAACAAGTGGTGACTCTTCTGACTCAGCGGTTCCAGTCATTCCTCCGGTGGCAACATCTGGTTCAAGCGTTCCATCTTGGGGACCAGGTTCTGCATGCTGTCCTTGACCCGATTAAGAATGGAGAGCGTCTCCGAGATCCGCTGAAACTGGTCAGCGTGTTTGTTATATTTCTTCTGCTTGTCCCGCATCACGCTCAGTAAAAACTGTATTGCACAATCAATCTACAGTAAAAAAAATTGCACAATCATTTTTCTACAGTAAATTTTGTATTGCGCAATCAATCTACAGAAAACTGTATTGCACAATCAATCTACAAAACAGAGAACACGGAGTGCAAGTTTCCTTTGACTTTCACAAAATTTGACACTGAAGGATTTGTTTTCATATTTTCAGTTTTAAACCCCAGGGCCCCCCTCCCAAATATAGCAAAAAAGTGGACATTAAGTAGATCCATCTAAGACTTTTCTGCAGAAATTTATTTTATGAATATCTAATTCTAAACTATTAAGAACACACTGCTAAATATACATGTCCAGCACTACTACATGTATCCAGTGTCAATAAAATTACTCAACTGTTGGAGTAGATTACAATTATATTCTGTAGATGTACTGAATGAAATAAACTCATATTATTTAAACTTGATAAATCTGCAATGAAAATAAGGCTTCACAAATACTTACATTTATTAAGGGTAGATGTGAAGAGTATACAAAGAAATGAGGGATTATAAATACATATAAATGTATTAAACAATGTTCAGTAAAAAAAATCAGTTCTAAACCCCTACCTCTTTAATCCTTACACACAGAGAATTGGGGTTGGGGTGATGTCATGTTTTTGAGTACTGGTTTCTGTCAGATCTTTTTCTCTTGGACTAAGTGGTCAATGACGATGGGACAAAAGTGGTGATCTTTGACTCGGTCAGAATTTCGTGGCTGATGATGGCACATAATGTGGTGAGAGTATAGGAGAATCTATAATATCAAACCAAATTCATTTAAAAAAAAATCAGTTCTAGACCCTAGCTGCAGAACTGTAGCTCTTGAGAAAAAACAAGACACATTGGGCCACACCACTGTACCTGAGCATTGTGGCTAAGAAAAATGAGAAATTGGTTTATTATTGAAAAGTTTAAATCCAAAAGTAGTCCCATGACCAATCATTGCTTTGCTATTGTTCAAACAAAAAAAGACATTTAAACATTTTCCTTTGTTCTTCAGTAATTCTTAACTCCCACTTTACACAATATACAAAATTGCCTATTTCATAAAACATGTACATATGTAAATAATCATGCTATGTCAAGATACATATATTTGTACAGTGCTGTACCTGTATCAAAGTATGTGAGATCTACTATGTTTCCATAGTCGGACTTGTCTGCATTAATAGCTTTGTTCCAAGTGGTCTTTCCTATCTCTATCCTGTTAAAAAAAGCAAATTAATAAAAGAAACAATACATTTATTTCTAACTTCAATATATAAAACACACTACTGACTTGTAAATGTTGATAATGCCCCCCATTTCGGTGAATGTGGCCAGAGAGAAAGCATCTTCCTAGGAGCTTCACAGAAAACTAAACCTTTCACTTTCTCTCCTTGTCAAACAAAGCAATAATCAACACTTATACGTATCTATATTCAAGTATAAATCAAATCATTTGAAAAAATCACTTATATTTTTCTTTCATCTTATTTTTTTTACAACAATTTGAAGAAAATTGGTGGAAAAAAATCCATGACATAATGTGTATATCAAAGTAACTTGTTATTTTACCAGGTACAGAAGTATTTTTGAAGGTCTGTTTAGAGCAGTTAACAACACTGTTTCCCTCCAGTTTTTCTGAAAACTCCCATAATTTGACTGTACCAAATTGGAGGCCAAAACAAAGAATGCATGGTCTTTTTTATTTTTAATAGATAACACAATCTTTTTAAATTATGTACATGTACTAGTATATAATAAATTATTTGGCTAAGGCAGTTAAATTTCAATAAAGGCATTGCTGAATATTATTACATAGAGATAAATGTTAGAGCTTAGAAGAGTTATTCCCCTTGATGATACACTCTTCTTTTCATACAGGTCATTAATCAGTACTTTCTGTGCCCCCCCCCCTACCTGTTGACTGGCCCCCTGTATTCCTGGAGGTGAGCCACCAGTAGCCTCTTGGGTTTCCAGTTACTGGGTGGGGGCCTCCTCTCCCAGGGTTTCCAGTTTCTGGGTGGGGGGTCTCCTCTCCCAGGGTTTCCAGTTACTGGGTGGGGGTCTCCTCTCCCAGGGTTTCCAGTTACTGGGTGGGGGCCTCCTCTCCCAGGGTTTCCAGTTACTGGGATTCTCCTCTTCAAATTTCCAGTTATTTTTGGGTGGGGGCCTCCTCTCCTTGGGTTTCCAGTTACTGGGTAGATACTCCTCTCCCAGGGTTTCCAATTACTGTGGGTGTCTCCTCTTAGGGTTTCCAGTTACTGGCATTTAGTGGAAATTGATTCTCCCAGGGTTTCCAGTTACTGGGTGGGGGCCTCCTCTCCTTGGGTTTCTAGTTACTGGGTGGGGGACTCCTCTCTTTGGGTTTCCAGTTACTGGGTGGGGGCCTCCTCTCCCAGGGTTTCCAGCTACTGGGTGGGGGCCTCCTCTGATAGGGTTTCCAGTCAGATATAGACTGACCTCATATAAACTCTTGCTTTTGTGGACCTATGTCAGGAGTTTCACCTTACAGGGATATTTTGCTGTAATTCAAAATATTGTATTTTTTTAGGGATTAAATGTTTCAACAAATAGCAGTTGTATTTTAGCACTAAAACATACAATACATCTACAAGTATATCACATGTTTATCAGCACAGTAAATTAAAATGTTCAAGCAAATGAGATACTTATACATGGAGGTTCTTACTGGTGGGGTTTTTGTCAGTGGTTTATTCTCTGTCAGAGACCTAATTGACCCCTCAGATGACCCCTGACTCTGTGACTGACCCCTCAGATGACCCCTGACTCTGTGACTGACCCCTCAGATAACCCCTGACTCTGTTACATCATTACAGAGCTTCCAGATGATGAAGATGATGCCTGACTCAGGGTCTGTGAAGTGTTTAGCTTCCTCTCCAGACTCTCGTCAGTTTTCTGTATAGGGTCGACATCCGGGCTTTTGGAGACAAACTATTGGAGGAGGAATCTGATTCATTGGAGCCTTCAGATCCACTCAGAGTTCTGAAATATCCATACAATATCATACAATAATATTAAGTTACCATTAACAGAACCCTTTGCATTATTTTTTGGTCAATTAAAATGTAGGCATTTTTTGTTATAAAATAATTTTATCTGTAACAAAAAATGTAGAGTAACACTATACAGCTACTCACCATGTTTACAGATTGGTCCTTTGGATTCATGTACCAATAGATTGGTCTGGGTGAGGAGGATGATTCCAAATAAGTTTCATCTTTCCTGGCCCAAAGGTTCTTGAGAAGAAGATTTTAAAAGTTTTTCCTATATATTCCTATGTAAAACTTTGGTCAGCCATTTTGGCCCCATTCTAGACCCGGGGGCCATGATTTAAACAAACTTGAATCTACAATACCTGAGGATGATTCCACATGAGTTTCATCTTTCCTGGCATAGTGGTTCTTGAGGAGAAGATTTTTAAAGATTTTTTCTATATATTCCTATGTAAAACTTGGGTCAGCCATTTTGGCCCCACCCTAGCCCCAGGGGTCATGATTTGAACAAACTTGAATCTACACTACCTGAGGATGATTCCAAATAAGTTTCATCTTTCCTGGCATAGTGGTTCTTAAGAAGGAGATTTTTAAAGATTTTTCCTATATATTCCTATGTAAAACTTTGGTCAGCCATTTTGGCCCCACCCTAGCCCCAGGGGTCATGATTTGAACAAACTTGAATCTACACTACCTGAGGATGATTCCACATGAGTTTCATCTTTCCTGGCAGTGTGGTTCTTAAGAAGAAGATTTTTAAAGATTTTTCCTATATATTCCTATGTAAAAAATTTGGTTGGCCATTTTGGCACTACCCTAGCCCCGGGGGTCATGATTTGAACAAACTTGAATCTACACTACTTGAGGATGATTCCACATGAGTTTAATCTTTCCTGGCCCAGTGGTTCTTAAGAAGATTTTTAAAGATTTTCCCTATATATTTCTATGTAAAACTTTGGTCGGCCATTTTGGCCCCATTCTAGCCCCGGGGGTCATGATTTGAACAAACTTGAATCTACACTACCTGAGGATGATTCCACATGAGTTTCATCTTTCCTGGCCCAGTGGTTCTTAAGAAGAAGATTTTTAAAGATTTTTCCTATATATTCCTATGTAAAACTTTGGTCGGCCATTTTGGCCCCACCCTGGCTTCGGGGGTCATGATTTGAACAAACTTGAATCTACACTACCTGAGGATGATTCCACATGAGTGACATCTTTCCTGGCCCAGTGGTTCTTAAGAAGAAGATTTTTAAAGATTTTTCCTATATATTCCTATGTAAAACTTTGGTCGGCCATTTTGGCCCCAATCTAGCCCCGGGGGTCATGATTTGAACAAACTTGAATCTACACTACCTGAGGGTGATTCCACATGAGTGACATCTTTCCTGGCCCAGTGGTTCTTAAGAAGAAGATTTTTTAAAAATGCTAATAATTTTTCACTAATTCATTATTATCTCCCCTTGGAAGAGGGCGTGGCCCTTTATTTGAACAATCTTGAATCCCCTTCACCCAGGGATACTTTGTGCCAAGTTTGGTTGAAATTGGCCAAGTGGTTCTTGAGAAGAAGATGAAAATGTGAAAAGTTTACGACAATGACAACGCCAACGACAACACCAACAACGACAACGACAACAACGACAACAACAGACGACGGACAAATTTTGATCAGAAAAGCTCACTTGAGCCTTCAGCTCAGGTGACCTAAAAACCATAGGTAATCAGAGATTACAGAGCTCACCTCAACGAATGTTGTCTTTAAGTAAGGCAAAGTCACACAATTAACCAACAAAAAGTATACATTCCAAAAATGAAAATATTTAAGCAATTTTGATCTGATATTTTGAAATAGACCTACATAAAAAATTTTAACTAGTTCTGCTTCATGAAAATGTAATGAAAATCCAGAATCTGAAGCAAATTTGAGAGTTTTCATCTCTTGGTGCAACATTTGTGCAAGTTTGGTTTATAAAATGTTATATAAGCCTTATAGTTTTTGGTAATAGACCTGCAACCATAACTTTTACCTTGTCTATTATCTGAAAAATGTATGTCGAATTCAGCATCTGAAGCAAGTTCATTAGTGTGCATCCTAAGATGTATCATCCATGCAAGTTTGCTAATTATAAGGCTCACACTTTATTGGAAATGAAACATGCATCAAAAACTAACATTTTCACTCATCCACAAAAAGTAGGTCAGATTCAGCATCCGAAGCAAGCCTAGTAGTATGCATCCTTAGATGTATCATCTATGCAAGATTGGTCATTAAAGAACTCATATAGTTCCTTGGAAAAGAAACCTGCACCAAAACATTAACCTGTTCGCTCAACTGGAAAATATAGGTCAGATTCAGCATCAGAAGCAAGCCTGGTAGTGTGCATCCTTAGATGTATCATACATGCAAGGTTGGTAAACATAGGGCTTATAGTTACTTGCAAATGAAACATGCACCAAAAACATTAACCTGTTTGCTCAACTGGAAAAAAATTGGTCAGATTCAGCATCCGAAGCAAGCCCGATAGTATGCATCCTTAGATGTATCATCCATGCAAGTTTGGTCAACATAGGGCTTATCGTTACTTGGAAATGAAACATGCATCAAAATCTTTAACCTGTTCACCCAACCGGAAAATGTAGGTCAGATTCAGCATCCGAAGCAAGCCCGGTAGTACGCATCCTTAGATGTATCATCCATGCAAGTTTGGTCAACATAGGGCTTATAGTTACTTGGAAATGAAACCTGCACCAAAAACTTTAACCTGTCCACTCAACCGTAAAATGTAGGTCAGATTCAGCATCCGAAGCAAGCCCAGTAGTATGCATCCTTACATGTATCATCCATGCAAGTTTGGTCAACATAGGGCTTATAGTTACTTGGAAATGAAACCTGCACCCAAAAACTTTAACCTGATCACTCAACCGGAAAATGTAGGTCAGATTCAGCATCCGAAGCAAGCCCGGTAGTATGCATCCTTAGATGTATCATCCATGCAAGTTTGGTCAACATAGGGCTTATAGTTACTTGGAAATGAAACCTAAACCCAAAACTGCACCAACAAGCAAATTCAAAGAATTGTGGTCCCCCGCTTTCGGTGTCCAAAGTAAACGGTATTTTAAAAGTCGGTCAACTCCAAGTTCAAGATCAAAGGGTCAAAGTTGTTGATTTCCAATGAAATGTTTTCTCACAAGGATTATATATGTGAAGTATGAAAGCCCCAGCCCTTACGGTTCAAAAGTTATGGTCAAGGTTAAAGTTTTTTTTATAAGTACGTAAATCTTTAAGTTCAAGGTCAAAAGGTCAAAGTTGTTGATATCCGATGAAAGGACTTGCCACAAAGAATACATATGTGAAACATAAAAGTCCTAGTGTCTACCGTTCAAAAGTTGTAACAAAAGTTAAAGTTTTTATTTAAAAAAGTAGTTATTCCACTAAAACTAGTACTCCAATGTCAAGGTCAAAGGGTAAAAGTTGTTGGTATCCAATGAAAGTTCTACTCACAAAGATTACATATGTGAAGTACGAAAGCCCTAGCCCTCACCGTTTAAAAGTTATGGTCAAGGTTAAAGTTTTTTCATAAGTATGTAAATCTCCAAGGTCAAGGTCAAAAGGTCAGGGTTATTGGTATCCAATGAAAAGTCTTGCCACAAGGAATACATATGTGAAATATAAAAGTCCTAGTATCTACTGTTAAAAAGTTGTGACCAAGGTTAAAGTTTTTTAAAAGTAGTTAAATCTCCAGGGTCAAGGTCAAAGGGTAAAAGTTACTGGTGTCCAATGAAAGGTCTTCTCACAAGGACTAGATATGGGAAGTACAAAAGTCTTAGTCCTCACCATTCAAAAGTTATGGTCAAGGTTAAAGTTTTTTTTATAAGTACGTAAATCTCCAAAGTCAAGGTCAAAAGGTCAAGGTTGTTGTTATCCAATGAAAGGTCTTGCCACAAACAATACATATGTGAAATATCAAAGTCCTAGTACCTCCTATCCAAAAGTTATGGCCAAAGTAAAAGTGTGGAATTTTTGTGTAAAAGTGGTTCAAACTCCAAGGTCAAGGTCAGGAAGTCAAATTTGGTGGTACCCAAAGAAAGGTCTTGTCACAAGGAATACACATGTGAAATATGAAAGTCATAGCTCTACTAAATCAAAAGTTATGGGCAAGGTTAAAGTTTTTGTGACGGACAGACTGACGGACAGACGGACAGACAGACAGACGAATGAGATTTAATGTCCCCTCGCTTTCGCGAAAGCGGGGGACAAAAAAGTTAACCTGCTCCAAAAATATTTAACCTGGTCATTCCTTTGCTGAAATTGCAGCATCTGAAACTTTGTCTGGTATAATGAAACACACTAAAACCATCTTCCATGCATGTCTAATCAATATAGGACACTGAAGTAATTAAAAAGAAAACTGCTCCGAAAAACTTAACCTTAACCTGGGACACCGATGCCGACACCGACGCCAAGGGTATCACATAAGCTCCCCCCAACTTCGTTGAGGTGAGCTAAAAATCACTTACATCAATGAATAAAACATTTTCATTTTTTGGAAGCAAAATTTCTCCATGTAAAGGGGTAAAAACTTATCTATAAGTAATTTTATGGAAACGTTTCAAATTAAATTGTAACCCACGTGCTCCAAATTTTAATGATCCAACTGAATTTTGCACTACTCATATTACCTAACAACAAGAAAACACTGTGTACAGTCAGTAGTACTAAAAAAAAAAAACACGGAAAACTTCAGTAAAACTTTAGGCCTTTCATTCTATCTTCAGAATACAGTTAGTAGTATTTACAGTACACAGACCTGGAAGTACTTAGATCCACTCCCGGCTGTTTTGGATCTTTCTGTTTCAGTAATTCAGCATGTCTCCTGGTTATTGCTTTTCCTGGGCCCAGACTCCAATTGGGTCTCCACAGACCTAAACAGAGGATGACAGCACGGCCTTGAGGAGTTGTGCACGTGACCTTAAAAACTGGCTGTCGGTAAACGCTATTCAATCGAACATGAGTATTTATACCCAGACCTACTGCGCAAGTAGATTGGTTTGATTTTAAAAATACGCCAGTCAGGAATAGGATTACATAAGAGTGTTCGACAAAAGCCTTTACAAGCTGTTAGAATTGTACTCCTTTGATTAAAATAATCGAAATAAGAAACATGTTTACAAAAGTGAGCACAGTATTAGCCTAAATAAATATATGAAATAAAATATATGTAATTATTTGGTCACATTTTTTATAGGTTACTTACAGGGTGTGCCAAAAAAGGACCACTTCATGTAAGAACTCCTGAAGCATGGATTTCTGAATGAGACCTAATTCTGTAAAACCCTGTAGAGCACCTAACGTCTTGTGTACCACAAATTCTTCTGAGTCACTCAGGCCCTGAAACAGAAAATAAAGTTTATACATGTACTGTGAAATCATTATTTCCATTGGGGATTGAATTATCATTGTTTCTTCAAGATTTGACTGGTTATAATTATCATCACTGGATTTCCATACCTGTTCAATAAGTGGTTTCAGTATAGAGCAGCTCTGCTATCGGACATAGGCGGCCACACCCACAATGTCGTCAAAGAAGGAGCCACGGAGATGCCAGTCAGTCTGAAAAACAAGAATATAATGTACATGTTACACACAGTGTAATTTGGCATATTCAAATTTTAGCGCAATCACTGGGTATGAGTTGTTGGTCAGTAATCATGAATTTAGCGCTACACATGTCTGTGTCATATTTTGTATTTATAAAAGATTCCTTAGAGATACAGTAAAACTTGGCTATAACGAAGTCCAGGGGACCTCTGAAAATAATTCGCTATATCCCTTATTTATTATATCCATATAAGGAATTAGTTAAATCAATATAGTTTGGGGATCCATGATAACTTCACTATATCTGTGGATTCGCAAATTATCCGTGTTTGTACTAATTAAAAACGAGTTTAACTGTATTCATAAATCAGCACATTATCGTCTGTTTCAAAGTCTCTAAAACATGAAGCCTGCTATTCTAAATACCGTATACAGGGAATTTTTTGCCCCTTCCACCTACCCTCATTCGGGCAAAATCAAAGATTTCAGTATAATTTCTTAAACGAAGCTATAACTGGATGAATTCAAATTGGGGAAAAATTGTTTGCAACTGTGAAAGGTTGAAAATAACACTTGGTGAAAATAACCCTGTATACAGTACACATACAGTACATAACTGATCAGAGAAAGTCTCATTAATTTCACATAGGACTTAATAGTTTTAATTATTATTTAACAAAACCTGAGTTATCTTACCTTGTCATGGAAGAAAGTAATCATGTGAGACAGCAACACATCATTGGCTGAAAATTAAATACAGAAATTAACATTTCTAAAAATTCAAATCAACCATCCTAAACCACATTAACTCTATATCAGGCTAGAGAATGAGATTAAACTTCAAACAACTACCACATCTCAAATGTTTTAACTTTACATCCGTACATCACATTGTACAATTAAATCTTGTTGAGAAAAGTATTCTTTAATGCCTGGTTTAGGTAAAATGAGTACATTTCTGCCTGCCAAATAAGACACACAGCTTTGTAATTTCGTTCTCCAGTTGGGTCTGTTTAACACTGTTGTCTGGGTCACTCAGCAGGGTCACGACCTTCTGTTGTCTGGGTCACTCAGCAGGGTCACGACCTTCTGTTGTCTGGGTCACTCAGCAGGGTCACGACCTTCTGTTGTTCGGGTCACTCAGCAGTGTCACGACCTTCTGTTGTCCGGGTCACTCAGCAGGATAACGACCTTCTATTGTCCGGGTCACTCAGCAGGGTCACGACCTTCTGTTGTCTGGGTCACTCAGCAGGGTCACGACCTTCTGTTGTCTGGGTCACTCAGCATGGTCACGACCTTCTGTTGTCTGGGTCACTCAGCTGGGTCACAACCTTCTGTTGTTTGGGTTACTCAGCAGGGTCATGACCTTCTGTTGTCTGGGTTACTCAGCAGGGTCACGACCTTCGGTTGTCTGGGTTACTCAGCAGGGTCATGACCTTCTGTTGTCCGGGTCACTCAGCAGGGTTATGACCTTCAGTTGTCTGGGTCACTAAGCAGGGTCACGACCTTCTGTTGTCTGGGTTACTCAGCAGGGTCACGACCTCTGGTTGTCTGGGTCACTCATCAGGGTCTCGACCTTCTGTTGTCTGGGTTACTCAGCAGAGTCATGACCTTCGGTTGTCTGGGTCACTCAGCAGGGTCATGACCTTCTGTTGTCTGGGTCACTCAGCAGGGTCATGACCTTCGGTTGTCTGGGTTACTCAGCAGGGTCACGACCTTCTGTTGTCTGGGTCACTAAGCAGGGTCACGACCTTCTGTTGTCCGGGTCACTAAGCAGGGTCACGACCTTCTGTTGTATGGTCTTACGTAGAGACAGCAGCTCTATGTCATAATTTGCCTGTTTAAACAACAAGAGGCCCATGGGACACATCACTCACCTGAGCAATGTGGCTAGGAAAAAAGCATAAATTAGTTTGTTATTGAAAAGTTGATACCAAATAGTTGTCCCAAACAATCCTTAAAAGAGAGAGCTAGGGTTTGATTTGAACAAACTTGAATCTACACTAATTAAGGATGCTTGCATATTTCTTTGACTATCTGTGGTTTTATCACCCTTTACATTTGAATTTACATTGTGGCCCTGCCCTACCCCCAGAAGTCATTATTCAAACAAAATGAATCTACACTACTGAGAATGCTTCCATATGAATAGGACTAAGCATGGCTTTGCTAATTTTGAAAAAAAAGATTTTTAAAGACTTTTTCTACATGTTTCTATATAAAACTTGGATTCCATGTCATGGACTCGCTCTACCCCCAGGGGTCATGATTTGAACAAACTTGAATCTACACTACCTGAGGTCATGCTTCAATAAAAATATGATCATTCATGCCTTTGCTATTCCAGAGAAGAATATTTTAAAAGAATTTTCCTATATATTTCTTTGTGAAAATTTGATCGGCCATATTGGCCCCGCCCTATCCCCTGGGGTCATGAACAAACTTGAATCTACACTACCTGAAGATGCTTCCATAAAAATATGATCATTCATGCCTTTGCTATTCAAGAGAAGATTTTTTAAGAACTTTCCTATATATTTCTCTTTAAAAACTTTGATCAGCCATTCTGGCCCCCCTATCCCCAGATGTCATGATTTGAACAAACCTGAATCTACACTACCTGAAGATGCTGACAATTAAATATGATCATTCATGCCTTTGCTAATTTTTGAGAAGATTTTTAATAAATTTTCCTATATATTTCTATGAAAAATTTTGATCGGCCATTGTGGCCCCACCCTTCTCCCGGGGGTCATGATTTGAGAAAAAATTTAATCTACACTACCTGAGGATGCTTTCCTATAAGTTTCATCTTTCCTGGCACAGTAGTTCTTGAGAAGAAGATTTTTGAAGAATTTTCTAATATATTTGTATGTAAACGGCCATTGTGGCCCCGCCCCACATCCGGGGGTCATGATTTGAAAAAAAAAATTGTATCTACACTACTTGAAAATGCTTCCCTATGAGTTTCATCTCTTGCACAGTGGTTCTTGAGTAGAAGATTTTTAAAAAATTTCCTCTATATTTCTATATAAAACTTTGATCGGCCATTGGGGGGGGGGGGCACCTGCTGGAAGTTGCTATACACTATCATTTGCCCTCATTCTGCCACTTCTCAGAACAACTGACTGCTCAGCTGAAAAAAATTAATTCTTATTAACTTTGAATTAGTTTACAACTCTATTTATCATGTTATCTGAATTAAAATTTACATTTAGATGAAAAAAAGATCAATTACTTATTATTAGCATAGCATTGAATTAGATTACATTTCTATTTATAATGTTAATTGAATTAAAATGTACTTTTAGAGGATACATGTAAAGTCAGTGTATAATACATGTATCTTGTCTAAAGTTGGTGTGTTTGTTTAAATCTCTTGATTCTCGCTGTCAGTAACTACATGTAATAATTTGCCTGCATGACACAGTGGTTAGGGAGTCTGCTCTAGAGTAGCAGAGTAGGTGATCCTTAAATTGCAGGTTCAATTCCCACTGTTGAACATGAAGACCAGTCCCTATGATAGACAATTAAGTGTAAACCAAGGATCGATCCGTGTACATGTAGCAGTAGACAACTGGTACAAAAAAGATCCCTTGCTGCTTGATTACCCTGAGTGTCAAACATAAGTCAAACTTTGCAGCCCCATCAGCAATTGGACAAACTTCAATTTTTTAAACCAAACAAGTATCTTGGGACTTAACACCATCCCTTGGCCAAAGCGAAATGACCTGCATGTTCTTGCTGGGCCCTTACTTTGGACACTGTCCTGTAAGGACCTGCTGGGCCCATACCCTGGGTACTCCCCAGTATGAACAGGCTGGTCCCATACTCTGGGCACAGTCCTGTATGTACCTGCTGGGCCCATACCCTGGGTACTCCCAAGTATGAACCGGGTGGTCCCATACTCTGAGCACTGTTCTGTATGTACCTGCTGGGCCCATACCCTGGGTACTCCCAAGTATGAACCGGGTGGTCCCATACTCTGGGCACTGTCCTGTAAGGACCTGCTGGGCCCATACCCTGGATACTGACTTGTACGGACCTGCTGGGCCCATACTATGGGCAATGCCCTGTATGTACCTGCTAGGGTCCTTGCTATTTATTCAAAGACCTTCAGCCTCACTAAAAGTTAAACTTGAACCTACACTACCTGAGGATGTTTCCATTTAAGTAAGACCAATCATGGCTTTAGATTGCTGCATTCTTAAGAAGGTTTTTTTTAAGATTTTTCCTTTATAAATAATATTTCTTTGTAAAACTTTGATCATCCCTTGTGGCCCCACCCTACCTCCTGGGGGTCATGACATAAGAAAACATAAATCTACACTACCTAAGGCTGCATGATCCCCCATAAGTTTCATCTTTCCTGGCAGGGTTGTTCTTGAAAAGAAGATTTTTAAAACATGCGACCAAATTTTCACGAGTCTCAATTATTTCCCTTAAATTAGGGTGACCCTTCATTTGAACAAATTGAATATCTTTGTGGCAAATTTGGTTAAAATTGGCCAAGTGGTTCTGGAGAAGAAGTTGAAAATGTAAAAAGTATTTATGGACAGACACTAGACAAACTGCAAAATGTGTTAAGACACCCGGAAAATAGAAATGACGCCTGTAAGACGTCTCTTAATCAACTGGCGACCGTTTCACTAACAGGTCGTAGCTCGTTAACGTAAACGAAAACTTGAACGTAGCACGTAAGTGCGTTTCACTAAGAGTTACGACTTACAAGTTACGATTAAACGTGATCATAACTCCACGAGTGGTCAGGGGCACTCTTAAAATACTTTGTGTTGAGATTGTCGTTATCTGCTGGACTCTTTGTGTTGAGATTGTCGTTATCTGCTGGACGCTATATGTGTTGTGATTGTCGTTATCTGCTGGACTCTTTGTGTTTTGATTGTTGTTTTCTGCTGGACTCTTTGTGTTGAGATTGTCGTTATCTGCTGGACTCTTTGTGTTGAGATTGTCGTTATCTGTTGGACTCTTTGTGTTGAGATTGTCGTTATCTGTTGAACTCTTTGTGTTGAGATCGTAGTTATCTGTTGAACTCTTTGTGTTGAGATTGTCGTTATATGCTGGACTCTTTGTGTTGAGATTGTCTTTATCTGCTGGACTCTTTGTGTTGTGATTGTTGTTATCTGCTAGACTCTTTGTGTTTAGATTGTCATTATCTGTTGGACTCTTTGTGTTGAGATTGTCGTTATCTGCTGGACTCTTTGATTTGAGATTGTCATTATCTGCTGGACCCTTTTTGTTGAGATTGTCGTTATCTGCTGGACTCTTTATGTTGAGATTGTCGTTATCTGCTGGACTCTTTGTGTTGATATTGTCGTTATCTGCTGGACTCTTTGTGTTGAGATTGTCGTTATATCTGCTGGACTCTTTGTGTTGAGATTGTCGTTATCTGTTAGACTCTTTGTGTTGTGATTGTTGTTATCTGCTGGACTCTTTGTGTTGAGATTGTCGTTATCTGCTGGACACTTTGTGTTGTGATTGTTGTTATCTGCTGGACTCTTTGTGTTGAGATTGTCGTTATCTGTTGGCCTCTTTGTGTTGTGATTGTTGTTATCTGCTGGACTCTTTGTGTTGAGATTGTCGGTATCTGTTGGCCTCTTTGTGTTGTGATTGTTGTTATCTGCTGGATTCTTTGTGTTGAGATTGTCGGTATCTGTTGGACTCTTTGTGTTGAGATTGTCGTTATCTGTTGGACTCTTTGTGTTGAGATTGTCGTTATCTGCTGGACTCTTTGTGTTGAGATTGTCGTTATCTGCTGGACTCTTTGTGTTGAGATTGTCGTTATCTGTTATCTGTCATTATCTCCTGGACTCTTTGTGTTGAGATTGTCGTTATCTGTTGGACTCTTTGTGTTGAGATTGTCGTTATCTGTTGGACTCTTTGTGTTGTGATTGTTGTTATCAGCTGGGTTCTTTGTTATGTTATTGTCTTCAGAGGCCACTTAACATCCAGTCTGAGTTAATGCACAGTAAATGTATAAGAATTACATGTAAAGTAATTCGCATCAAATTCTCCATGTGAACAAAGTTTAAATTAATTAAACTGAACTGTCCGTGTGAACAGAGCAGAACAATTTTGATCAAGGCTTCAAAACTCATTATATCCCCGTTTGAAAAAGCGGGGAGTGGGTTGGGGGTTGTATAGTAATCGGGATGTCCCTACGTTCATCTGTAACGATTTGGGGTATCCAATTAACCATCTCTTATCCTAAACTCCGCTTATACCACAAAATACATTTTATGTCACTTTCACATAATTTTTATTCTACCTTTGAAAAAAGATTTGTACTTTTTAAATAGATACATCTACTTTAATTAAAGGTATAACTGTTATACAACGGCATAAAGTTATAGATAATACGTTGACAATTATTGTAATTAAAAGAAAATATTTTCTATGTAGAATATTGACCAGGGGGTCAAATTTCTACGTAGAAAAATGACCCACGTTTAATATTCTACGGGGGGTCACTTTTCGTCGTTACAGGATTTTTTTTTTTAATGAACCTAACCCTTTTTTGTCTTTTCTTTATTATCTTCTGTTGTGGGGGAAATGTCCTTTCATTTTACCAATTTTAACTTCCCTTCAACAAAGGATGCCTGGCCCGGTGGTTCTTGAGCAGAAGTTGAAAATGAGAAAAGTTTACAGACAGACGAAGACGGACAACATTTGATCGAAAAACTTATTTGAGGCTTCGGGTCAGGTGAGCTAAAATAATTTTCCTCAGACAAAAAATTTGATGGATACACAGCTGGAGAGATGGATTCATGTAGATTGATTCTAAAACTTCATTTTCAATAATCAAAAACAAAAGCCATGTAATTAGAGTAAATTACAGTCACTAACCTTGATCTATTTTATACTTCTGTACAAAGACGAATATAGATTTCTCAGGTATTTAAATCACGTGACCAGGTAACCAGGTAAACATTTAGAACGAAGACAAGGAAGTAAATTGTGATGTACAGGATTATCAGGGAGGACATGTTGGATTTAGAGGTGAGACAAGATTATATTTTAGTATATTCTCCATGTTACAATATCTTTCCAAATGTCATTAATAATCCCAAGTCAAGTGTTATACATTAATATTTGCTGAAATACATGTACATGAGAGGGCCATATTAGTTCAAATTAACTCTATAAAAATTAGTTTGACTGTTATAAAGTGTTGACATTTTCTTCGTAATATTTTAAAAAAAAAACAGAAGGAAAATTTTAACATCTTTAAAACTGCAAAATATTCTAAACCGATTTTGTCTGACATTTTCACAATGAAACAAAACTAAACCCTTACATTGTATGTGTAAAATTGCGTTATATTTCTGAAGTCAGTAACCCATGCCTTCATTTACTTGAAACAGGGTCGTCTGATTTTTTACCAAAACCCCAGTGATGGACCCCCTGGACAGAGCTCAAGTACTCCTCCTATGTGACCTGTGTCAAAGAGCTGCATTACAGAGTCATTGTGAACTTTGTCTGATTATTCTGTGTAAGACCTTTGTAGGTGAGCATCTCTCTGATTCATCTAAAAGACACAAAGTTGTATCATACAAACACAAAACTTCTACTCCTAATGTAAACTACCCAAAATGTCCAAACCACACTAACAAACATTGTGAACTTTACTGTGAGAAATGTGACATTTCTGTCTGTTCTACCTGCATCTCCTCTGATAAACATCATGGGCATAAATTAACAGATGTCTTACAGAATACCAACTTTATTAAGGACATTTTAAACAATGACTTGACAGAACTAGAAAAAGGAATATATACTACCTATGAAGAAATTGTATCAGATTTAAAATCAACCTTGGAAAAACAGTATGAGAAACAAAGCAAAGCTGTTACCAAACAAGGAGAAGACTGGCACAGAGAAATTAACATCATTGTCAACAAACAGAAATCTGAAATTGCTGAGATGAAACTTAAACATCTGGCTGCGCTAAATAAACAGAAAAATGAAATCAAACAGATTTCTTCTGAAGTAAAACACAGCATACTTGATCTAAAGAAAAAAAACTGGACTCCAATGATGTTTCCATAGCATCTACATACATATCCAAGAATGCTGAATTTAGAAGATTACCTCCTAAATTAAAAGTCTTATTACCAAGTTTCTCTTCTCATCCGATAAACACAGAACAGCTCCATCAAATGTTTTGTTCCCTGTCAGCATTATCCATTACAACAGATGAACATGGCTACACAATGAAGACAAAAGAAGCTGTCTCCTGTCCTCCAGTCAAACCAGTGCTTGATGAACAAGAGCTCATCACTGTCACAATTGTTATTCATTTTCTTATGTCCGTTATGGCGTACCATAATTTCATTTCTTACCGTATGGTTACGGATAGCTGGTCACGGCTGTCAGACCGGTTTGAAAAACTGTCGACGTGTGAGTTCAGAGCAGGCCGTAGAAGTGAGAAGGTGTGTCCTTCCTAAGTGAAAATGTTGAATGACCTGTGTGGTCTCCAGACAAAAAGCTGTGTGCATTTGGCCTGAATGTTTGGTGTGTTTGAGAAGTTTTCCTGTGTGGAAAGTGTAGTATTTTGAGTACATTGGCAGCGGTGAGTTTGAAGTGTTTATTTTCTTAGCTAGGTTATTTTGTTTGTTTGTTTTTCTTTTCCTAAAGTTATTACTTTGTTCAGTTTAATTTGTGATAGATAATATACCCGACATATCCATTTATTCCTTATTAATGCGTTATTACCGACCATGGAAACCCAGACTTTGAAATAATATGTTATTATAGGTGACCAGCTCGACCAGCTGTGTATACAAGTAACGTACGTGTGACGTTATAGGATGATGTTACTACGACGTTGGAGGAAATCCTACGTACTAAGACGTTGACGGTCGATGTGGACTGTGTACCAACGATAACATAAACCAACGACTGTGTCAGTGTGTGTATATACGAACAGAACGAACAATACGGTAACGTCTTGGGGTCACATTTATAGCTAGATCTAGGGATTTGTGCACGTGTCAAGGAAACATTCGTCTGGTCGGGTTTCACAATATTTAAGCCGGTGTATAGACACTATTATTTATTTTTTTGTTTATTATTATTTTTTTTTGTTTTGAATAGGGTTTTTTTGTATTTGTGTGAGTATTGTGTGTGCGTGTTCGTAGTGTGTATATATTGTTTTGAGCACTATAATAAACTTTTGTTTGAACGTACTCTTTGTTCTTTTTCAAAGCTTGGTTGCAGCGAGGGTTTATTTCCATGCCATTTATCACAAATTGTGACAATTGGGGGCTCTTCCGGGATGGAAATATTTTAAATCATTATATCCTTACGCTGTTAACTAAACTTTGAAAATGGAGAAAGAGTTAGAAAAATTAGTGGAGATTGGGCAAAAGTTAGGTCTGCATGGAGATCAGTTGTTGGAATATGTTAGGGAAAAAGAAAGAGCAGAAAGAAAAGTTGAAGAAGATAAATTGTTGAGAGAAGAGAGAGCAAAGGAACGAGATGCAAAGAGAGAAGAAAAAGAACTAGATTTGCAGATTGTACAATGTGAGCAAGAGGCTAAGAGAAAAGAAAAAGAGTTGAGCATGGTGATGCAAATGAAAGAATCAAGCAATCATTTGGCATTGTTAGAAAAAACAAATTCAGTTAGAGAGAGTAAAAGCAGAGGCATTGGCATTAGAAGTTAGCGCTAAGCATCAAAGTACCCCCATGTCCCCTGAGGTGTCTGTTCAAAATCGTGCTAAGATGCCCAAACTTCCTCACTTTAATGATCAAAGAGACTGCATTGACGCTTATCTACAAAGGTTTGAAAGGTTTGCTGAAAATGCTAAGTGGTCTAAGGATACATGGTCAATAAATCTTAGTGCTTTGCTTACAGGTACTGCTCTTGATGTTTACTCTCGTCTATCTCCTGGTGATGCATTTGATTATGATAAGCTTAAGTGTTCTTTGCTCCAGAGGTTTCGAATGCCCGAAGAAGGTTTCCGCGAGAAATTCAGAGCTAGTAAACCCGAAAAAGAAGAGAATCCTCCTCAATTCTTCGCGCGTTTAGACAACTATCTCAAAAGATGGATGGAACTCGCGAAATCCCCATCAACGTTTGTTGGTTTAAGAGATCTTATGTTGCGCGAACAATTTATATCAAGTTGTAGTAAGACTTTGGCTACTTTCTTACGAGAGCGTCACCCGAAAGATGTTAAAGAAATGACGCGGTTAGCAGAGCAATTTATTGAAGCGCACGGCACTTCTTCATTTTCTTACGATCGCACAAATTATCAAGTAGCGACCGATGATGTGAGGTCAACGTCAACAACGTTTCAAAAGAAACCTTTCTCAAGTTCAGGTAAGAATGATAGAAAGTGTTACGAGTGTGGTAGATCTGGCCACATAGCTAAAGATTGTTTTGACAGGTTGAAGAAAGGAAATCGTTCTCAGACCTACAAAAGCGCAGCGATGCTAAGCTCTGGTTCTTCATCAAAGGCAACTTCCCGATCTGCAAAATCACAGCTCCAGAAAGCTGATGTTGAGAGTGAGCATCAACAAGGAAACCAATCTACTGAATCAGGTAAACATGTAGGTTCTTTGTGTATTTTGGCAGATAAATTGAAAGACTGTTGCATACAAGACAATAAAGTTACGTTACGTTGTGGGCATATGTTACCGGTCATTGGTGGAGCTTGTCGTGTTTGTCATAATATGCCAGTTTCAGATGGGTATGTAGGTAATCATCCTGTGGAGGTTCTGCGAGACAGTGGATGCACAGGAGTTGTAGTAAAAACCAGCCTCGTACCTAAAGACCAACTGACAGGGCGGAATGTGGAAAGTGTACTCATCGACGGGACTGTCCGGAAAGTTCCCGAGGCGTATATCAACATACATACACCGTTCATATCAGGTAAGGTCAAAGCTCTATGTATGAACAACCCAGTCTATGGTTTAATCATAGGTAACATAAAAGGTGCAAGAGATCCCTCTGACCCTGATCCAAAATGGGACACTGGAAGAAATAATGAAGTTGAGGAAAACGATACACATGACTTGGTGGAAGGCTCAGCTGTACAGACAAGAGGTCAAGTACAGAAGGAAAAGGTAAGGTACAAAACATTGAAGGTACATGTAACTAGTATCACTGACAATTTTACTTCAGTAGATATGATAGTTGCACAAAATGAGGACGCTTCACTGGAAAAGTATCGGGAATACGCAAAGACAGGTGTTAGGAAGTTCACAGGACAACAGAATGTGTCTTGGTTTGTCATTGTAGACGGTCTTTTGTTCCGATATTTTCAGTCTCCGAAGGTTAGTAGCAATAACATTTTCAAACAGTTTGTTGTTCCTTCACCACACCGTATTACAGTTATGAAACTTGCACATGATTGTGTACTGTCTGGTCACTTAGGAATAAGAAAGACAACGGATAGGGTATTGTCTAACTTTTATTGGCCAGGTGTACAAGGTGATGTAGGAAGATATTGTAGATCATGTGACGTTTGTCAGCGAACCGTACCCAAAGGTAAGATCTTCCCAGTTCCATTAGAGTTTATGCCTCTCATTGAAACTCCTTTTGAGCGAGTTGCTGTAGATTTGATTGGTCCAATTTTCCCAGCAACAGATCGAGGGAACAGGTATGTACTCACTATGGTAGACTACAGTACAAGATACCTTGAAGCCGTTGCACTCAAAGGCATTGAGACGGAACGTGTTGCTGAGGCATTGTTTGAATTCTTCACTAGACTTGGAATTCCTAAGGAAATTTTATCAGATATGGGAACCCAGTTCACGTCTAACCTTATGAAAGAGGTAGGTCGTTTACTTTCCATTGCACAACTTACAACTACTCCGTACCATCCTGCCTGCAATGGTTTAGTTGAACAGTTTAATGGAACGCTTAAACAAATGCTCAGACGTATGGCTGCTGAAAGACCCAAGGATTGGGACAGGTATATAGCTCCTTTATTATTCGCATACCGTGAAGTTCCTCAAGAGAGCATGGGTTTTTCATCATTTGAATTATTATATGGTAGATCAGTCCGTGGACCGATGACAGTTCTACGAGAGATGTGTGACGAAAGAATTAAAAGACTCAGAAGTCAAGAGCACTTATCAGTATGTCATCGACTTGAAAGAGCGTTTAGAAGAGACATGTGAATTAACTAGAAAGTCCTTACAGAAGTCCAGTCAGCGCTACAAGAAATATTACGATAGGAAAACAAGGTCACGTTCATTCAACATTCAACATAAGGTATTAATCCTCCTTCCGACGGACAACAACAAGCTACTTATGCAATGGAAGGGTTCATTTACCATTGTTTCCAAATGTGGAATGGCTGACTACAAAGTAGATGTACAGGGCAAGATCAAAACTTTCCATGCTAACCTTTTGAAAAAGTATGTTGAAAGAGAGGTAAGTACACCCGAAGTTCTTAGTTCTTGTTCTGTCATAGAAGAAGAAATACCTCAAGATGGTGAGACTTCAGAAGGTGAGAGTGATTTCCCTCTAGAGATACCGCCTTCCGAAGCAAAAGAAACATTTCAAGATGTGAATGTTGACACAGATCTGACTGAGCAGCAACAAGATGACGTCAAGAAGGTTTTGTCGGAATTCAGAGATGTTTTGTCTGATTTACCAAATCTTACTCATTTGGCTCAGCATGAGATACATCTGACAACTACGGATCCTATTCACAACAAGCCGTATCAAATCCCATTTGATTGCGCCCATGGGAAAAGGGCCCTTATGGCAATTTTTATGCATTTTGAGATTTTCATGGATTTTGATAGAGTAAGGATAGAAGTTGTCAAATATGAATTTTTATGGTCCTACGTCCACTCTAGGTAGGTTTTTTCTTCATTTTTATCTAAGATACTTTAATAGGTTCATAATAACGTCATGTTTTTCAACAACGTCAAACGTTTTCAGAGTGAACGTAAAATTATTTTCTTCTGCAATTTTACTACTGTAATCAATAGTTGTATAATATTTAATATTTACCCATGCACATTATTTTTATCTCATTGTCTCTTTTAATTACAAATAATTATTAAATAGTTATATATGTATTATGGATTCATCAGTGGTGTATAGAATTATGAGTGAGTGCTTGTTTTACATTTCACTTTTCTCTGACAGGAGGAGACCTAAGCAGCGGGCGACATCCATTCAGTATTTTTTTTGTTGTTTTTTTTTTACAATTATTTTATCAACAAAAAAAAATTACTAGTAATCCATGCAATAGTCAATTGATAAGGCTGCATTATTCATTAGAAAATTATTCTAATTTAAACATTGCTCTCGATAGGTCGATATGTATTTTTTTTTTGCCTGAATTCGGCATAAAACGATATATCTCAAGTTGCCGTACATGTGAAGATTAATTTTAAAAAATTATACCAGGAACAATACGCTACCTAAATGCTACTGCGAAGTGAAAATTTATCTGATCATTCTTTTTTTCTAAATTTTATATAAAGACATAAAAACTATGAAGTGTGATATCATGTTATTACGATATAAAATAAACAGTAAATACAAGGGAAATTTGGTTGATTCACTGCATCTTTGAGGTTAAATTGTCTGTCTGCATAGGGTAAAAAATGACACTGCTGTTTGAAAAATATATAAGATACAAGAAATATTTTTCGTTCTAGCAGTCAAAATATTTTCATAATTTCCAATCAAAAAGGTGGAAGTTTTATAACCAAATGAATGAATTATAATACGCACTCATTTACACAATAGGTTGTCAGACCAAGGATTAATATTGGTAGGATTATGCGTGTATTGGTGAGGGGGAGGGGGGGGGGAGGGTAAAAATCTAAATGGGAGAAACTTACAATTCTTGTGAACACGAGTTAAAATAATTAAATATATATTTTTTTTACTTCCAGTGTTAGGTGCACAGGCGGGGTGTCTCTCCTACACCCAGTACCATTAACCCTACAACTTGTAAATTAACTTTTTTATTTAGGTTTGAAATGATGCTTCATATTACCGGGTATTCTTCTTTTTATATTTGTACCTTTAATTCTGAGAATTACCATTTTAAAAATTGCACAGCGATCATGATCACTACGAGCCTGGAATTGAATTGCTATGAATTCAATCTTGTTTATCATGTATATAATGACACCCTAGATTAACAAAATCTGGGTTTTTTTTAATTGGATGGTTTAGAGGCATACCAATAGAATTAAATTAAAGAAACCATATACATATTTTTTTTTCAAGAATTTCGAACAAAATTGGTTCGTCGTCTTTTTTCTCATGAATTTCAAAAAAAATATCCAGTAGACAAATCAATAATAGCTATATCCTGTAATATTTCTTGAATCATGCATTTTGATATATTTTGTTGGGGTAGGGGTTGGTTAAAAATTAATAACATGTAATTATCCATGCCTAAATATACAGTCAGTTAAATATGACTGTTTTGTATAATATATTTCCTGACAATTGTCTGTGAACTTGCTGAGTTTTGAAATGTCAGAGTTTTGTAGGGATGTAAGCATCTTAAAAAATTCATCATATTATTTTATGACTTAATTAAAGAAAATTCACCTTCATTCTAAGGACTTTGTTTTCTAATTTTATTTTATAAAGTGAATTTTACAGAATATGAATTCCATTCTGTTCCCGTTCCAGAAGCATTGATATGCTAAGCCTTCTAAAGCCTTACATGTTACGGAAATATAAAAGGACACTCCCCATCCCCTGCACTGCAGTCAAAATAAAACAAAATGCGAGTATGCTGTAGCGGTTTTATGTCGTTTATCTTCAGCATTGAATTTTATTCTATGTCAGTATTTACATGAAGAAATAAACCCGACCCTGAACTTATATGGATTTTTTGTCAAACAAATCAAATAAAATCATAATATGTGCTTATACATGTAAAATGATATGTATCCATAATTTGATGACAGTTTAAACATTATACTCCACACTGATAACTGTAATGAGATTATAAGTCTAGTGATGAAATGGGTTTTTAACATGATAATTGATCTGTTAAGAAACATTCAATGCTGATCGAGATTTTGTGAAAGACAAAGTCCTGCATGGCTTCAGGGATTAATTTACAGTTAATGCTTAAAACATTTTAACTCTGTATAAAAAACAACACATAAGTACAAAAGAATTACATGTATATTAAATTTGGAGATCTTGAAAATAAATTGCCATATATATGTAGTTTAGATAACAAAAAAGATTTTTTCTTTCAATTTACAGTATTTTATCACATGTATTTTGTTTGTTTTGAAAACTCATCTTTTTCAATAGAGTTTCACATTTCTCAATATAAGATAAATGGATTCAATATAAATATTTTTATCTATACCCTCCATCCTCTCTCTCTTGCCCCCTTCTCTCTCTCTCTCTCTCTCTCTCTCTCCCTCTCTCTCTCATCAGATTTACTTGACCAGCTCTAGCTATTTAAGTAAGAACATTTCTTTCATTTGGATGTTTGTGCTTGTTTTAATACCGGTATCTCTAAATTGAAGTGTTTTAGTGCAACAAGAAAATAATTAAGACAAAACAACATTTATAAAGTTGAATTTATTTAATCATTATTCCTGATACGGTAAATACTATATATGTATATTATTTTAAAAAAATGAAATTCGTTATTAAATTATTTCATGTTTAAAAAAAGCTATGGATGAGAGATTTGAAAAAAAAAACTGAAAGTACGTTTGTTCAATACTACGTCAGTTTTCTTTTTTTTTCTTTGTTTTTCCTTTTCTACATTAACGGGACCTTTTTCCCAAAGTACAACAATGTTTTTTATTTAAATATTCATAAATTAATTATGCTGACAATTAAAAGTGTTTTTATTTGGTCATAAAAGATCTCTTTTATAATCCGGGAGCAAATTCATGCGAATGAAAGTCCCTCTCTGGTACCCCCGTTACATCGATTGTTGAGATCAGAGTTATCTCTCCTATATTTTATTTATAGAAAATACAAAAATCTTTACTGTCGCTCTTACACATTTTTTGCTAAATTTGTAAAATGTAGAAGATGTATGTTTAGTTTCAACATTAGTACAAACAATTTAACAAAAGTTTAAGCAGTATACACCGATGGATCAATGATTGCATGTGATCGAGGCGATCGCGACAGTGGCGTAGCATCGTTTTTGAAAGTGGGGGGGCCAGGCAGAGAAAATTTTTTTTACTTAGCTGAAAAAGTTGACAAGCAAAACCAAAAAAAAAAAAAAAAAAAAAAAAAAAAAAGGCAAAAGTTGCCCAAAGTCGAAAATCCTATTTCGTGTGGGGGGGGGGGGGGGGGGGGGGGGGGGGGGGGGTTCAAGTAAACTTTTTCTCAGTGTCAACTACTTTTAGTACCAATTCTTATACTACATTTTCGGTACATTTTTAAAATTGGGGGGGCCAACAAGGCTTTCAATTAACATTTCCTATAGTGTAAGTAAGGTTGGGAAAAAAAGTGGGGGGGGGCCAGGCCCCCCCCCCTGGCCCCCCCGGATACTACGCCCCTGCGCGATGTACCAAGGTACATGTATATTGAGAATGGTGGAGCGGATCTCAAATTTATTTTGCAATATTTTAACCATATACCCCTGTCTAACATTTATCACAAAACTGGTATAAATATGTATTTAAAATTTATGTATCTAGAGTATACAGATTTATTATCCTATCAGAAAAACACCTTGTCTACAGCTTCTATCTATAAATTATGCATGTAGGAAAACTATTAATTGGTATTTGATACGTATTCATATAATAGATATGTTTGTTAAGAAACCAGTTGTAAATGTTTTTATTTATACCTATTAAAGTCAGTGGATTAGGAGATTCTGGTATTGATTAGATTAATTTATACATGAAAATAAATTCCACATCTTGGAAACATCGATAAAAGTCTGGATGCGTCAAACGTCAAAACATGTGGTTAAAAAAAAAATCTGCGTCGAAGTTCACCGTCAGTCTGCAACGTCACGTCTTTATGACGTTATTTCTCTGTTTTAGCAAAAATGCCATAAGGCCCTTTTGTCATGGGCGCAATCATTTGCTCTACGTGATTCCGTTACGGAAGAAATCAAGAAAATGATTGAGATGGACATCATAGAGTCGTCAGAATCCCCTTACGCCAGCTCTATCGTTGTTGCCAAGAAAGCTGATGGTTCTAAGAGAATATGCATCGACTTTAGAAAGCTAAACAAGGTGACAGTGTTTGATGCCGAACCAATGCCCGATCCCGAGAAAATTTTTGCTAGAATTGGACAAAGTAAGTATTTTACTAAAGTAGATCTTTGCAAGGGATATTGGCAAATTCCTATGAGAGACGAGGACAAAGACCTGACATCATTCGTCACTCCTGATGGTTTGTTTAGGTTCAAAGTAATGCCGTTAAGTCTATCAAACGCGGCGGCGACGTTTAATCGAATGATGCGCGTTTTGTTGAAAGATTTGAAAGATACCGATAGTTTCATTGACGATATCTTGATTCATTCAGAAACGTAGGAAGAACATTTGGTGTCTATTAGGTGTTTATTAGAAAGACTACGGTCGGGAAAACTGAATGCAAAACCTTCCAAATGTTTTGTAGGTTTTAGCTTACTTGATTTTTTAAGTCACTCAGTTGGAAATGGTGAAATGCGACCTAATAATGACGAACTTGAGACAATCAAGAAAGCCCCTCGCCCTGAAACCAAGAAACAGGTACGTTCTTTCTTGGGACTGATTGGTTATTACCGCAGGTTTGTTCCCAACTTTGCGGCAGTTGCTTGTCCTTTGACAGATTTGACAAAGAAAGGTACCCCAAATAAAGTCGAGTGGTCTGATGAACACGAGAGATCTTTTATGAATCTAAAGTCATTGCTTTTACACGCCCCAATACTTAGACTCCCTGACTTTAACAAAGACTTCTTTCTCAGAACTGATGCTTCCGACTACGGAATAGGTGCTGTTTTGTTGCAGAAGCATGAGAAAATGTTCCCTGTCGCATATGCCAGTAGAAAGTTGAATGAAAGAGAGAGGAATTATTCTGTGATTGAGAAAGAGTGTTTAGCTATTGTATGGGCTGTGAGAAAATTTCAGGCATACTTGTACGGTAGAACATTTGTTTTGCAGACAGATCATCAACCATTGATCTATTTGAACAGATCAAAAGTGTCAAATGGTAGATTGATGCGTTGGACAATCTTTTGCAATCCTACAATTTTGTTGTTCATGCTATCAAAGGTGTTGATAACGTAGGCGCAGACTTTTTGAGTCGTCATGTTTTGTAAATATTGTTGATTTGAATTTACTTTCAAAATATGGTTTCCAATTTTGAAGCTGAAAAGGGGAGGTATTGTCACAATTGTTATTCGTTTTCTTAAAACGGTTATGGCGTACCATAATTTCATTTCTTACCGTATGGTTACGGATAGCTGGTCACGGCTGTCAGACCGGTTTGAAAAACTGTCGACGTGTGAGTTCAGAGCAGGCCGTAGAAGTGAGAAGGTGTGTCCTTCCTAAGTGAAAATGTTGAATGACCTGTGTGGTCTCCAGACAAAAAGCTGTGTGCATTTGGCCTGAATGTTTGGTGTGTTTGAGAAGTTTTCCTGTGTGGAAAGTGTAGTATTTTGAGTACATTGGCAGCGGTGAGTTTGAAGTGTTTATTTTCTTAGCTAGGTTATTTTGTTTGTTTGTTTTTCTTTTCCTAAAGTTATTACTTTGTTCAGTTTAATTTGTGATAGATAATATACCCGACATATCCATTTATTCCTTATTAATGCGTTATTACCGACCATGGAAACCCAGACTTTGAAATAATATGTTATTATAGGTGACCAGCTCGACCAGCTGTGTATACAAGTAACGTACGTGTGACGTTATAGGTTGATGTTACTACGGCGTTGGAGGAAATCCTACGTACTAAGACGTTGACGGTCGATGTGGACTGTGTACCAACGATAACATAAACCAACGACTGTGTCAGTGTGTGTATATACGAACAGAACGAACAATACGGTAACGTCTTGGGGTCACATTTATAGCTAGATCTAGGGATTTGTGCACGTGTCAAGGAAACATTCGTCTGGTCGGGTTTGACAATATTTAAGCCGGTGTATAGACATTATTATTTATTTTTTTGTTTATTATTATTTTTTTGTTTTGAATAGGGTTTTTTTGTATTTGTGTGAGTGTTGTGTGTGCGTGTTCGGAGTGTGTATATATTGTTTTGAGCACTATAATAAACTTTTGTTTGAACGTACTCTTTGTTCTTTTTCAAAGCTTGGTTGCAACGAGGGTTTATTACCATGCCATTTATCACAAATTGTGACAATCACCACAATAGACACTGAGTATGATGAACTATACAGTATTTCCTTTCGCAGTGATGAAGAAATCTGGACATGTGGAGAAAAAAAATTCCTGAAACTCTACAACCTTCAGGGGAAACGACTGAAATCAATCAAAACCAAGTATGGGAACTGCCCAGAGGACATAGCAGTGACAAAGAGTGGATATCTAGTTTATACTGACTCTGACAAAAGAACTGTGAACATAGTGAAGAATAAACAGATACAGGAATTGATCAAATTACTGAAGTGGAAACCTGACAGTGTCTGTTGTACCTCCTCTGGTGACCTCCGGGTTACAATGTACAGTGATGATTATAAACAATCAAAAGTTGTCCGTTACTTTGGGTTCACAGAGATGCAAACTATTCAGTTTGATAGTAAAGGTAAACCTCTATATTCATTTGGTAACACTAAATACATCTGTGAAAACAGGAACCTGGATATCTGTGTGGCTGACAATGGAGCTCGTGCAGTAGTGGTGGTTAATCAGGCAGGAAAACTCCGATTCAGATACACTGGTCATCCCTTTACCACCAAGGGTTCATTCTATCCAATTGGCATCACAACAGACAGCCAGAGTCAGATCCTGACAGCAGACAGTCACAACAACTGTATCCACATCATAGATAAGAGTGGACAGTTCCTCCGTTACATTGATAACTGTAATCTACAATTTCCATATGGTTTATGTGTAGACACCAGAGACAACCTCTTTGTGGCTGAGTTTAACAGTTGTAACTTGAAGAAGATCAAATACATGCATGTAATCAATGTGTTTTAAATAATGACGTTTGTAATAGAATTTTTTCCAATAGCCAAAATCACAGATGTAGTTTAATTCACTTTCTAGTGTTGATGTGTGAGTGTGTTTGAAAATATTTTCAATATTATCAATAAGAATAATACAATGTATATAAATAAAATTTAAACTATTGATAACAATCGTTTCAGAATTCTACCCAAGATTAAAATGACTTCTCAATAATATAACATTACATTTGAAGAAAACTTCAATATTTCAAAATGACAAAATGAATACCATGTATATTTGCAAGCATGAAGAAAGAAATATAATATATATTTTTTTGGTAAAGTTGATCCTGTTTCCTGCACTGCACCATGAAGGGTTGTGATTATACTGTACTTTTGATGAATCGAAGTTATAATAAAATGCCCTTAGATCTAAAATGAATGTACATACTTTTAATCTAGTTATATGTAATTTATTTAAGAATCTTAATTGACCAAGATAAATATTAACCATTAAATTATTTCCATTTTTTCATGGATTCTTTGGGACTCATAGGGTGCAAGATAACAAGGTTTGCCTGTATATCACTATATGTAACCCAAAACAAAGATGAGAAAACTGATTCGGAAAACGTTTTATTGTAGATGTTTTCATTTTAATTCACATATATCTTTAGTACAGGTCAAAAATGATTTCAGCAGATATTAACTCGTCATGTTCCATGGGATATCAGCCAAGTAAGCCCACAGTCAGTAGAACTAAATATTAAAAAGTTGTATCAAATTTTTATAGACAACATCAATCATTTCACTTTACGTGTATGTAGCCAAACGTCTGTTTTTATAACTTATTAGCTCCCGTGTTGAGCCTCAATACTTAATAGTCTTCTTACTCTCCTTATGAGGGCCTCCACAAAACTGTAGTGGGTCCTGGACTTACAGTATTTCTAAACAAACAAACAAACAAACAATGGTTATTATACATGTAAATCCAACGACATTTTTCATAATTAGGTGATAAATTAAGCATAGCTCAATAAAAGTTCTTTGTGTTTCTAATTTTCAAGTATTCAGTGTTATATTGAGAGAATATTCAATGTTTTGTACATGTAGTTGAATATGGTTTTTATTTCACGAGTGAGACAGGATTTTTAATATTTTCACGAGTGCGAAGCACGAGTGAAAATATCAATAAATTCTGTCTCACTAGTGAAATAAATACCATATTCAACTACAAAACATTGAATTTTCTGTTTATTACATTTTTGAAAAAATTCTTTGAATTTTTAGCTCACCTGAGCCGAAGGCTCAAGTGAGCTTTTCTGATCACATTTTGTCCGGTGTCCGTCTGTCCGTCTGTCTATCCGTCTGTCTGTCTGTCTGTCTGTCTGTAAACTTTTCACATTTTCGACTTCTTCTCAAGAACCACTGGGCCAATTTCAACCAAACTTGCAACAAAGCATCCTTGGGTGAAGGGGATTCAAGTTTGTTCAAATGAAGGACCACGCCCTCATTCAAGGGGAGATAATTGAGAATTAGTGAAAATTTGGTGGTATGTTTTAAAAATCTTCTCCTCAAGAACCACTGTGCCAGGAAAAATGAAACTTATGGGGAAACATCCTCAGGTAGAGTAGATTCAAGTTTGTTCAAATCATGACCCCCGGGGGTAGGGCAGGGCCACAATGGCCGACCAAAGTTTTACATAGAAATATATAGGAAAATTCTTTAAAAATCTTCTTCTCAAGAATGACAAAGCCATAATTCATCAAATTTATATGGAAGCATGCTCAGGTAGTGTAGATTCAAGTTTGTTCAAATCATGACCCCCGGGGGTAAGGCGGGGCCAAAGTGGCTGACTTAAGTTTTACATAGAAACAATAGGAAAATTCTTTAAAAATCTTCTTCTCAAGAATGACAAAGCCATAATTCATCAAATTTATATGGAAGCATGCTCAGGTAGTGTAGATTCAAGTTTGTTCAAATCATGACCCCCGGGGGTAAGGCGGGGCCAAAATGGCTGACTTAAGTTTTACATAGAAACAATAGGAAAATTCTTTAAAAATCTTCTTCTCAAGAATGACAAAGCCATAATTCATCAAATTTATATGGAAGCATGTTCAAATAGTGTAGATTCAAGTTTGTTCAAATCATGACCCCCGGGGTAGGGCGGGGCCAAAATGGCCGACCAAAGTTTTACATAGAAATATATAGGAAAATTCTTTAAAAATCTTCTTCTCAAGAATGACAAAGCCATAATTCTTCATATTTATATGGAAGCATGTTCAGGTAGTGTAGATTCATGTTTGTTCAAATCATGACCCCCGGGGGTAGGGTGGGGCCAAAATGGCCGAAGTTTTACATAGAAATATATAGAAAAATTCTTTAAAAATCTTCTTCTCAAGAATGACAAAGCCATAATTCATCATATTTAAATGGATGCATGTTCAGATAGTGTAGATTAAAGTTTGTTCAAATCATGACCCTGGGAATAGGGCGGGGCCAAAATGGCCGACCAAAGTTTTACATAGAAATATATAGGACAATTCTTTAAAAATCATTGTCTAAAAAATAGCAAATCCATGATTGGTCATGTGACAACTTTTGGATTTAAACTTTACAATAAAAAGCCATTTTCTATTTTTCCTACCCTTAGTGCTCAGATGAGCGATGTGGCCCATGGGCCTCTTGTCATATGTCTTTTAGTTCTTCTATTCTTTAGTTAGAATGACAAATGCACTTAACATTTAAAATTGGTTAGATACTGGCATGTTTTGTATTATCTGCAATGCCATGCTGTCCCAGTCAGACGACCAAACGCTCCTCTAATTCTGAAGAGTTCACTAATGGAAATACAACATATTGGCCACTGGATTGGGGGTTCTGGTGTTAGGGCAGGGCTTTATTGATTATCTATGTAGTGAAAATGCACTAATTCATTGAAAATCCTCTCTGCTCCTGGGTATTAAATAAACTAAGTACGCATCAGTTATAATGAGGGAGAAATTGAATGCCTTGTCCCAAATTGTGAATTCTATGGCCCCTGGGTCCAAAGAACATATTTATAATGAGCGAGAATGCCTCTTCCAAAATTGAGAACGTCAAGGATTCTGGTGTTAGGATTGGGTTTTATTGATTATATAGTGAAAATGCATTAATTCTTTTAAAAATCTTCTTCTCTGCTCCTGAGCTCATACTCTGAAAATAAATTTACTGCAATATATATATATATATATATATATATATATATATATATATATATATATATATATATATATATATATATATATATATATATATATGGCCCCAGGATCAGTGGTTCCTGTGGGTTGGGGTGCAGAACTGGTGGTTATAAAGTAGAAATGCATTTTCTCTTCATTACTCTGATCTATCTCTTGGTAATAAGTAAGTAAAGTGAGCATGGTAAGTGTATTATTAGTTATGATAAATAATGGTGCCTGATGTACATGTACTCTGATAAAGAGTTTCAAACTCTTCACTGTGTAATAAACTTACAATTTATTACCCCTTGTGAGTTCAACATGGTGAAAAAAGTACATGAGACCTGGGCCATAACGTTTCCTTGTCAGGTCAGACCTGACACCTTGTGGGCCATGGTTAAGTAAGTGAAACCCAGTTTTATCACAAGAACACTCGTGCATTTAGTTATAAATTAAGGAAAGCCAATTTTATTATTTTTAGACTAAGATAACTATAAAATAGCAA